ATAGATAGATAGATAGATAGATAGGATAGAGATAGATGATCTAGAGATAGATGATAACTAGATAGACAATATAGATAGGGAGGGAGGGAGGTAAGTAGGGAGGGAGGGAGAGACAGACAGACAGACAGACGTATTGCACTGGCTTAGTATTATTTGTGAAGCCAGTGACTATATTCGACAAACCATGGTTTCTGACTTACATGTTAAATGAGTCAACTGAAGACTATTTAAAGACTTTGATTAAACAAGCCATGATGGTTTGAGATGTTGCACGACCCCACTGAGTGCCAGGAAATTAATGGGGTGCTGGTTATGACTATTTTCCCCTCTAAAAAAAAAAACCCACCTTGGAAACATTGAAGATTTGGATAGGTTTTGTTAGCAGTTAGATGAAAAGTAGGGGAGAGGTATCAAATTTGTAAGTGAAGTTAGGTGAAATAGCTAATATGTGTTGGAAGACAGAAATAAAATCCAGATGACTGTCGGTGGTTGAAAACAAACGAAGGAAATTTAACGGAGGGGAAGTTTGGCCTTAGGAAAGAGATCAAACACCGAAAAGGGAACAAAGAATACAGTTTAGTAACAGAAGTGAAAAAAAGGTTCTGCAGCTGTAATTGATTACACACAGGATATGAGACAGGAATGTGTTGTAGTTTAAAAAATAACTGTCGAATTTAATGTCAGGCTCCATCAATAGAAATCGTTTCCAAATCAGGCAATTTTCAATCTTGAATATTATGTTAGGTTCTGGGCAACATACTTTAAGACGGACTGTCATATCCTCGAAAAGTGCAAATTAGAGCAGGCGTGTCAAACTCCAGATCCGGCCCGTGGGGTTCTTAGATCTGGCCCACGAGGCCGCCCTGGAAACAGTGAAGGATTGATCTGCAGTGCCTCCTGAGTTCTGTTTTCGCTGGCAGAGAGTTGCAGGAGGCCGTTGCAGCCGAAAACGGAGCTCGGGAGCTGTTCTAACCCAGCCTTAGGAGAAGCAAGAAACAGACTCCTTGTCACGAAAACCCCTCTTTATTTACCTCTTGTGAATTAATTGCATTCGCCCACCGAAAAGTCCAGGGAAGAGTCCTTCAAGGAGTTAACTGCAGTAACAGAGCTTATCAGTTCTTTGCGATAATTGCAAGGCTCCCAGCCGAAAGGCTGCAAATTAAGTTCTGGCTAGCAAGTCTTTGTGGCATGAAACACAATGAGCAAAATCTTCAGAAATACGAACGGTTGTCTCCTACGACAACCACTCCCCTTTCCTTCTATTTATTCCCCAGCCAGGGAGGGGCCATTCAGCATCCACGTGTGCTTTGCTTCCCGAGCCGACTCCTTGTCCTCCGTTGTTCACCTCTTCTAACTGCTCTGCACATACGTGCATCTGGAACAGGCCCCAGCTGTTCTTCCTCCTCACTCATATCAGCCTCCAAAGGCAGCCGCTGGGAAATGTCAGACGGCCCTGGCTCTATCTCTTCATCTGACGCAGAGCATCCATCAGAGCCCTTCCACAGCAGTGGTGGGTTTCAAATTTTTTTACTACCAGTTCTGTGGGTGTGGCTTGGTGGGCATGGCTTGGTGGGTGTGGCAGGGGAAAGGTACTGTAAAATCTCCATTCCCACTGCACTCCAGTGGAAGGTTACTGCAAAATCCCCATTTCCTCAGCTGGGACTCAGGAAGCAGAGAATAGATGGGGGAGGGGCCAGTCAGAGGTGGTATTTACCGGTTCTCTGAACTACTCAAAATTTCTGCTACCGGTTCTCCAGAACTTGTCAGAACCTGCTGAAACCCACCTCTGTCCCCCAGACTCCAGAGCTGGCCCACGTTCCTCACCAACCTCCTCATCTTCTGAGTCTGCCGTCAGCTCCGCTGGCAGCTGGCGGGCCACAACAGGAGCCCATTTTCTTTGGCAGAGCCCTCATGCCGCCACAGGCGTCTTTGACACGAGTGACGTCAAGCTGGCCACGCTCACCCTGGCCACGCCCACTCCGCTCCCCGATGTCAAACACAACCCTGATGCGGCCCTCAATGAAATTGAGTTTGATACCCCTGGGTTAGAGTCTCATTAGGCTCTTCAAGAATCATCACAAACCCTCCAGTCATCACAGAAATGACTTATGTCTTCATTATTACTGCATTAATACAATAGGGACTGGATCCTGCTAGATTTGCAGTATTTCTCAACCTCGGCAACTATAAGATGTGTGAAGTGGTGGGATTCAAGTAATTTAACAACCGGTTCTCTGCCCTAATGATTTCTTCCAACAACCAGTTTGCCAAACTGCTCAGAAAGTTAACAACCGGCTCTCCCGAAGTGGTGCGAACTGGCTGAATCCCACCACTGGATGTGCGGACTTCAATTTCCAGAGCCCCAGAATGGCTGAACAATTGTGAAAGTTGAAGTCCACACATCTTAAAGTTGTCAAGATTGAGAAACATTCTGCTAGAAGACAGTATACGGCGGTGCTTAAAAGTTTCCGAGTCCTTGGGAACTGTCAGTATTTCTGCATCAGTATACCTGGCTAGCAATTCCTTGGAGATGGCTGGATTTGAATTCCTGCAAACACCAGGACTTCAGAGCCAATAGCCTGAAATAATTCCTTGCAAACTTGTGATTCCATAATTTGGTGATTCTCTGAATCAGCTCTTTAGTTTGCAAGTCACATTCCAAGTTTTCAAGTCACTGGGATGGGCCGTGATGTTGAGCTGGATTATCCCAGGTATGTGACTTGGAATCAGGCCATCATACAGGTGTGTGCAGAAATGTTTCATCCCCTCTTCACTTAATCAGGAATTTAAAGAATTGCCATTGCTACTAGCGGATTTTTTTAAAAATCAAATTCTCCCTCCTAGCTGGGCCTGATTGCAAGAAGGAGTTCAGTTGGATAAAAACTTACTTGAAACTCTTTGAAACTTCTCCTTGGAACTAACCAAGGAGAGAAGCAACCTGGAATTAAGGAGAAACTTCCTAACAGTGAGGAGAATTAACCACTGGAACAGCTTGCCACCAGAAATAGTGGGTGCTTCATCACTAGAGGTTTTTAAGAAGAAACTGGACAGCTACTTGTCTGAAATGGTACAGAGTCTCCTGTTGGAGCAGGGGGCTGGACTAGATGACCTCCAAGGTGCCTTCCATTTCTATTCTGAATTGGGAAAAAAAATCTTAAGATAGAGCAACTTTTATTCTACCTATTTCAGCTGCGTTTTGGCAGCATGGCATTCCTCAATCGTTTCTGCATAGAAAAAGAGAAAATCCCTCTGCATTAACAGAGGGATAGAATCAAGATCACATGAAATGTTAGTGCCATCTCACAACGCCCTGGTAAGATCACAACTTGGAATATTGCATCCAGTTTTGGTCGCCACGATATAAAAAAGATGTTGAGGATCTAGAAAGAGTGCCGAGAAGAGCAATAAAGATGATTAGGGGACCGGAGGCTAAAAATAGGAAGAAAAATATGAAGGAATTGGGTATGTCTAGTTTAATGCTTGGAACTGTAAGGAGTGACACGATAGCAGTGTTCCAGTATCTAAGATCCTCCACAAAGAAGGAGGAGAGAGAGTCAACCTATTCTCTAAAGCACCAGAAGGCAGGAGAAGAAGCAATGGATGGAAACTAATTGAGAGAAGCAACCTAGAACTAAGGAGAAATTTCCTGACAGTTAGAACAATTAATCAGTGGAACGACTTGGCTCCAGAAGTTGTGAATGCTCCAACACTGGAAGTTTTTAAGAAGAGATTGGACAACGCTTTGTCTGAAATAATATAGAGTTTCTTGCTTGAGCAGAGGATTGCAGTAAAAGATCTCCAAGATCCCTACCAACTCTTGTTATTCTGTACAGGTACATAGGCAGGAAGGTCTGCAGAGATGGAGCCCACAAAATCAAGATAGCAATGAAAGGTTCCAATCCCACAATTGTATTTACTCTTTTGAGTTTTTGGACACTGTTCCTGTGGAAACCCCTGGTGAACACACGGAAAGTTCCTTGCAATGACAAAATGCCTGTCAGCTGTGAAATATTCTTAGATGGGCTGGTAGGACACTGCTTTTCTCATGTCTCTCATTTTGTCCAGAGGTGGGTTTCAGCAGGTTCTGGCCAGTTCTGGAGAACTGGTAGCGGAAATTTTGAGTAGTTCGGAGAACCGGTAAATACCACCTCTGACTGGCCCAGTGGTGGATTTCTACCGGTTCGCCTGGTTCTGGCAAACTGGTAGTGGTGGCGGCAGGAGGCTCCGCCCACCGGCCCGGACGTCATCATGGATGCTCTACGCATGCACCCCACCCGCGCTCCCAGTTCCGAACCGGTAGCAAAGGTAAATGGAACTCACTGCTGGACTGGCCCCACCCTCATCTATTATCTGCCTCCCAAGTCCCAGCTGATCGGGAGGAAATGGGGATTTTGCAGTAACCTTCCCCTGGAGTGGGTTGGGAATGGAGATTTTACAATATCTTTCCCCTGGAGTGGGTTGGGAATGGAAATTTTACAATATCTTTCCCCTGGAGTGGGGTGGGAATGGAGATTTTGCAATATCCTTCCCTTGGAGTGGGGTGGGAATGGAGATTTTACAATATCCTTCCCCTGGAGTGGAGTGGGAATGGAGATTTTACAATATCCTTCCCCTGGAGTGGAGTGGGAATGGAGATTTTACAATATCCTTCTCCTGGAGTGGGGTGGGAATGGAGATTTTACAGTACCTTCCCCTGCCATGCCCACCAAGCCACGCCACGCCCTTCAAGCCACACCCACAGAACCAGTAATAAAAAAATTTGAATCCCACCACTGATTTTGTCATGTCCTTCACACACCCATCCCACCACCATCTTGGCATCTCTGACCTTAGATCTGCTCTTGGACAAAGGACATTTCATCGGGACAAGACAGAAAAACAAGATGACCGGGTCATGTATGTGATGTGATAGGATCATTGCGCCATTTTGTGAAGATCCGTAGAGCTTGAAATGTCCCGTCTGAGGGAAACAGAAGGGAAAAACAAAAACAAAGCAACCGTTTCTGTCTTTCTAAAACCCTTTATTTATGTTGGCCTTATTTGGTTAAGCAAAGATCTCTGAGCATCCTTTTTTTACACAACACCAGTCAAAAGTCAACCGAGGATGAGCAAAGAGTATGGCGCAATAAGGACATGTCAGAAATAGGTTTACAAGGCTTTCATCGAGTCGTGGTTAAGAACTCAGGCAGGCTTTTTTGGCCTGCCTCCTTTCTGATGTGTTGGACTACAACTTCCATATTTGCCAAGCATGGAGAACATCGTAATGCTTGTCACTGTTTAGAGCTGGAACGTCCAACCTTACAACTTTAAGACCTGCAGACTTCAAATCCCAGAATTCCGGGATTTGAAGTCTGCAACCACTGTGCCACCACGGCAAATAAATGGGTTTATTTGGTAAGGGGAAAAAAAAAAGCTGTTTCGGTGTCTCTGCAGAAACGTGCATTGTATGTGGAGAAGCATCACCGCACTGGTGATGTTACCGATGTTACCTGCAATGAAACGTCTGCAAGAAAACAAGGAAGCTCGGCGAGCATCCAGGTTCCCACAGAAACATCTGAAATTGAATTAACACAGAGTCAAGATCAAGTTCCCAATTCCTTAACCCCTTTGAATCAAATCTAACTGAATATGTGCGCTCAACCCTACACAGCACCCAAGGTTTACGAAGCAATACCGTTTTTTACAGTACAGGGGGCAAAATGCCATGCCTTTATACGTTTTTATACGATACATTCTCTCCTGCACATGTATAAAAATGCACACATTCCCTTGTACAAAACAGAAGTTTGCCAAATTTTAATCTAGCGTCTCATTTGCAAATGTCACCCTTCCTCTTTTGTAAACGCTGTGGATGTGCGGACCACCAAGTTCCCATGTTCTTTTTTTTTTCTTTTTTCTTTTTTGAAGCGGATTGGGATAAAATCCAGACAGCTGAGTCACCCTTCCAATGAATGCGCTTTCCTCCTCCGTCACGACAAGCTAAGTAAGGGCAGCTAACAAAAAAGCGAGGGAGAAGAGCCCCAAATTTGTGGTGAGGCCGAGAGCTCCACTATTGGCTTGCTCTTTTCCTGCTGTGTTGCGTTCTGGACTTTTAGGATTGCTGAATAACGGGGTGCTAGCGTTCCTCGTAGCTTCTTCTTCTCCTGCTGCTGCTCCGGATGAAATCATCAGGTTCGCTTTAAGTGGGTTTTCGCACCCTGGCTGGTTGCACGGAGTCGTGGTTTTGGGACGGGATGTAATAAGTGCCGCAACAAGGCCCATTCCGGGATTGTGGATGGAGTCGGACACGTTGATGTTTGCTGCTAAAGAAACATTTGCTCCGGTCCTGTCTTCTACGATGAAAGAGCTGTTATCTACAGAGACGATCGGATTTCTGGGAAGAACATTGCTGGCCAGGCCATCTGAAGTTGCATTAGGGCTGGCAGAGATTGATACAGGAATACTATTATCAACAATGAAGCTTTCACCTCCAGGTGTTCCATGGCCACGCTCCACGTTGGTGTTTTCTGAGATATTGGTGGCAGGAAAATGCGGAGGTCCATGTTCTTCAACAGCTAAAACCGAAACATTACGTGTGTTTTCAGTGGATGAGGAATAGGATTCTGATTCCTGGTTGCTTCCTTCTCTGAGAAAGTTACCAACGTTGGGAGTGTCTTCAGCAGAGCTGGAGGTGTTTAGTAGAGTTCCACTTCCATGAGAAGAAGATGGAGGGTGCCTGGAAGAAGAACCTCCGTGATCCTCCTCATTGGTGGCTACGAAGTGTCCCCCAGCGGCGAGGCACTTCTCTTCTGACTCACATTTATCGCTTGATACGTCCTTATCATTGCTAGAAGCTGGCAAAACCTCTTTGGGGGAGGAGGTGGTTGGAGAGGTAGTCCTGTTTCTCTTGGAAACGATGAACGGTATCAGGAGAGCCACACCACCATGGTTACCAGAAGAAGTCACATTGCTTGTCCCCAGGTTTGTTATAGCCGAGGAACTGCCTGAAGAATCATGTTCGGTGTTTGAATCACCTGTAGAAGAAGACATTTCTCTACTTTCAGAAGAATTTCCAGAAAGATTCTCCTCATATGGTTTCCCATCTACAAAGGTGTGGACATGATGGGATGAAGGTCGGGCACTGCTTTCGTTGACCAAATTCTCACTCGTTTCATTTTCATCAACCACGTAGACAGTCTCCTCAGCAGTGTGGTTTCCAGGAGATGGGACCTCACCGTGAGTTGAGTCCACCACCACCATCATACCATCTTCCACCTCATCTGAATAGAAGCAATCAGATGTGGGTATGGGCTTAGATGGCTTGGGGTCGAATGTGACACATCCTACATCTTCAAGGTTTTCGGGGCTGTCAGCAGGGACTCGGGATTCCGTGATCGCACCGTCTACGATGCGGTTGTTGCAGAGATTCCCTTGGCAACAGAGGATGTCAGCATCTTCCAGCTCTTGCACCAATTCCAAGAGAGAGCTCTGGCACATGGCAGGGGAAGCACAGCCTTTGAAAGTCACCAAGGTCTCCTCTTTCCCAGCTGCAAGGAGAGAAAAGGAGAAAAGGAGAGTAACCAACAATATCAACCCAAGAGTTGATTAGATTGGAAGAGATTGAATGAGCCCCCTCCCCCAGGAGATAGGATGTGTCTCCATTCTGGAGTCACCGACTGTCTAAATTCTAGTCCATGATGGGTCTCCAAACTTGGCAATATTAAGACTTTGTGGACTCCCAGAATTCCCCAGCACTACCTGACTCTGTGGTTTCTTCCTCAAACCCCCCAAACTTTAACCTAAGACTGTTTACTGTTGACCTCATCCCATTCCTAAGAGGTCTGTAAGGGGCGTGAATAAGCGCACCAATGTGCCTTCCGTCCCTGTTCTACTGTCCCCATTTATTCATATCCATTTCATGTACTCAAATTATGTTTATACTTTTATTTGTTATCTTATACATGCTTGATAAATAAAATAAAATAAAATAAAATAAAATAAAACAATAAAATAAAATAAAATAAAATAAAATAAAATAAAATAAAATAAAATAAAATAAAATAAAATAAAATTGCTTGTTGCGAGTTGGCTGGGAAAGTTGCAAATGGTGATCATGTGACCCCAAGATGTTGCAACAGTTTTAAGTACATGCCAGTGGCCAAGTGCCCAAGTTTTGATCATAGTCTACCTATACTTTAGCTCTCAGTATAGTTTCGTGTATTTCACGTAGAGCCGTGGTGGTGCAGTGGTTAGAATGCAGTATTGCAGGCTAATTCTGCTGACTGCCAGCAGTTCGATCCTGACCAGCTCAAGGTTGACTCAGCCTTCCATCCTTCCGAGGTCGGTAAAATGAGGACCCAGATTGTAGGGACAATATGATGACTCTGTAAACTGCTTAGAGAGGGCTGCAAAAGCACTGTGAAGTGATATGGAAGTCTAAGTACTAGTGCTATTCCTTCCTGCCTGCATGCATGCCTCCCTAACTCTTTCTTTCTTTCTTTCTTTCTTTCTTTCTTTCTTTCTTTCTTTCTTTCTTTCTTTCTTTCTTTCTTTCCTATTTCCTTCCTTTCTTGGTGGTGCAGTGGTTAGAATGCAGTATTGTAGGCTAATTCTGCTGACTGCCAGCAGTTCGATTCTCACCGACTCAAAGCTGACTCAGCCTTCCATCCTTCCGAGGTCGGTAAAAGGAGGACCCAGATTGTTGGGGGCCATAGGTTGACTTTGCAAACCGCTTAGAGTGGGCTGTAAAACACTTTGAAACGCTATAGAAGTCTAAGTGCTATTGCTATTTTGATCCCTGAGCAGAATGCCTTCCAAATTGTTAACTCCACCCACTTTTCAACTGCTGGAAAGTAGAGTCTGGCCAATAAGGGTTGATGTCCTGTAGACTTAATGGAAATATCCTTCAGGATTGGCACATTTGCCAAGTCTCCAACAGGGTAGGGCAATTTGTGGTTGCGTTGGGGAATCCCAGCTATGAACTGGGCATGTTGAATCAGGCATTCTTGGTTTCGCCTTGGACAAAACATATTATATGAGACAGGATGCTATATTAGTCCATATTTAGCAGATTATATAAACTAGGCTACCTTAAGATTTGTGGCAACTTGGCAACTTTAAGACTTGTGGACTTCAACTTCCAGGCTGGGGAGTTCTGGGAGTTGAAGTCCATAAGCCTGCGCCACCAAGTCCATAGAGCCTTGATGGCGCAGCAGACTAAAGTGCTGTTAAGTAGCACCAGCTGCCTGCAATTACTGCAAGTTCAAATCTCACCAGGCTCAAGGTTGACTCAGCCTTCCATCCTTCCGAGGTAGATAAAATGAGGACCCGGATTGACAAAAGTATGAAGGCTATTGCTTAACGCATTGTAAGCTGCCCTGAGTCTCCGGAGAAAGGGCGGCATATAAATCGAACCAATAAATAAATAATGCTGGCTGGGGAATTCTGGGAGTTGAAGTCCACAAGTCTTAAAGTGGCTGGCTGGGGAATTCTGGGAGTTGAAGTCCACAAATCCTAAAGTGGCTGGCTGGGGAATTCTGGGAGTTGAAGTCCACAAGTCTTAAAATTGCCAAGTTTGGAGACCCGTGATACAAATCAAAGTGGAAAGTTCTGAGATCACTCACCTTTACGGCTGTTGCCAATTCCTTCCAGGCACATGTTACGAATGCCGGTGCACTTCACTTTGGAGATGGTCTTGTTGGAGCATGCACCACCGGAGTCCTGTCCATCCACACAGCTGTAGCACTCCAATCCATTTGGTGCCTGGCTTTCCAGATGCAAGTCTGAAGCAGGTGGAGATACAAAGTAGGAAACACCTATGAACATTTGTGTGTTATGATCAGGACCTGGAACCTTTGGCTGTTCACAGAAAAAATTAAGCCAGGAGGTACTGCTTTACAGAAATAAGAGATTTCAGACAGCCTCTCTTTCCACAATGACCTACATAAACTCAGGGATGGGATTGAAAAATTTTAGCAACTGGTTCTCTGCCCGGTTGCTGGGTACCACAGCGGGGGAGGCATTTTCACCCTCCCCAGGCTCCGGAGGCTTTCCTTGAGCCTCCACAAGGGTGAAAAGGGCCTTCCCTGGGCACTGGAAGCCCTCCGGAGGCCGAAAACAGGCCCCTTTCCGGACTGCTGGAACTTCCGGGAGGCCCGTTTTTTGTCCTCCCAGAGCCTCCGCCCGGCCCCTGCATTTACCTCGCATGCAAAACGGGCTGCGTGGAGACTCCTGGGAGGGACGGGGTGGGGCGTGGCAGGGAGGAGTCAGCCAGTCCTTGCAACTACCGGTTCAATGAACCAGATGTAAAATTGGCATCCGGTTTGCCCGAACCAGTTTGAACTGGCTGAATCCCATCCCTGCATAAGCTGCCCAGAATTCTCTTCCGTGCATAGATCAGATGCAATCCATCCTATGTTTTGACACCTAGTCTGTTTGGAGATGAATCATCTCCCACCTTTGCAAATGTCCTTCTTGCTTTGATTGTTTGCAAAGGGAAGTGAGGAAGCGAAGTGGAGGCCAACCTTCCCCTGCCATGTCCACCAAACCACACCCACCAAGCCACGCCCACAGAACCGGTAGTAAATTTTTTTGACTCCCACTACTGAGGGGGAGGATTACCTGGGGTGAAGGTATTGCAAAGTGGAGAATTGCAGCAGCTGGCGTGGATGGTTCGGCTTCCTGAGTAAAAGCTCAAGGTGTCTTCACACCCGGGGAGATTGGTGCAGCCTTTCAGCTTGAGATTGGAATACGGACCTATTAAGAAGGAGGTTTGATAGAGTGGCCCATTATATCTACAGCACTGAGTGTCATCCCTTCCTCGTCATCTTTTTTACCCAGAGAGACAGAGGACAACGGTTGAGTAAGGCATATCTCAGCACTGGGAGGTCTTAAGTGATGGCCTTTCAATCCAGCTTCATGAACGATTAGCCAGATCTCACAGCTTGGTCACCCTTTTATTTAAATTCCCCCATTCTCTGTTTATGTAGTATCCTAAGAAATAGTTCTGGAGAACTTAGCCAAAGTTGCACATTCGATCCGAATTAAGGTATCATCCAGGGATGGAGGTTGGGTGTTGGGGTGGTAAAAGTTGGGGTGGTAAAAGTTATATTCCACTGCGGTGGAATGTAGTCTGGATTTCCAGACGGGAGAAGTTGCATTCCAGACAGCAAAGAGACAGCAAAGCACGGAAAGTTTGGTTGGGAAAAAGAGAGTTAAGAAGGCTCCTTCCTAGCAATTCCCAGAGTATATCTACTGTATAATGATGCAAATAGTTGCTTTACTTTGGCAAGATTCTGTCGACAGGTGAGGAACAATAAAGGGAACTGCTCAGAAGTCACTCCACCTGTCTTTCTTGGTTCTTGGGGTCTGACACCCATCCCCATACACGTGTAAGCTGCATTCACAACCAAATTTATGAGATGGGCTTTGGCTACAACAACGTTAAGAAATCTTTTTGTGGACCGACAGCACAATTCTTAGGTGTGCTTCTTTGAAACTGCTTTGCATATCTTCCCTTCTCATCAGCTGTGTTCCTCTAAGGCAGGGGTGTCAAAGGCATGTGGTCACGGCAGCATCACATGACATATCGGGACCTCCCCCCCCCTTTTGCTAAACCGGGCATGGACGTGGCCAGCACATGATGCATCCGCCCCCGGGGCCGGAAATTTGACAGCTCTGCTCTAAGGCATTTCACAGGTCAGTTATGAACTTAGAAGCCACATTGGTGTATCATGACTAATTTGAACCTTAGTTGATTTTTGGGGAACTTAGCATGTTGTCTGAATTCAGGTTTTTGGTTAGGTATGGTTCGGTATAATGTACACGGACGCTTCTCCAGAGAAACAGATTATTCAAATAATCAAATTAAGAACAGAGGTGCAGTTCTTCCATTTATCTTAATCCAGCCATTCACCCCAGTGGTGCAATTCAGCCGGTTCTATCCGGATTGTGCGAACAGGTAGCGGCGGCAGTGAGAGGCTCCGCCCACCTGCCCTGATGTCATTTTTTACCCTCTGTGCATGCACGAAACGCTCTGCGCATGTGTGTAGGTGGCACTTGCGCTCACATTTGTGAACCGGTAGCGAAGGTAAATGAATACCACCCCTGATTCACCCCCATCTCCAATCTACCTACCTCTTCCTTTCTCTTTCCCAGATTTTTCCTTGCCTACTTACCCAACTTCCCGGTGATGTCAAGATCCACACATTGGTCCTGATGCCCAACACAGCTGATCTGAGTGCGAGAAGCTTCAGGACACCAGGCTCCCTGGGAGGCACAGGTATGGCAGCGCATGTGATTGGTTGGGGCAGGATGAGAGACTGGGGAGAGGTGCACAAAAGGGTGGAAATTAACTTCCAATCACTATTCCAGTTGTTGTACAAGTGTAATTAAGTTAAAGATAGGTCTACGTGGATTCCTGGTTAACATATGTTCAAAAACAGCTTGCTAATATATTTTCAATTTTCCAGTCAAGCCTACAGTTCTGGTATTTCTAAGTCAGGGGTGTCGAACTCACATTGTCACATGATGTATTGTGACTTTTCCCCCCTTCACTAAACTGGGGGTGGGCATGGCCAGAGTGTGATGCATCCGGCCCACGGGCCGTGAGTTTGACACTCCTGTTCTAGGTGGTTTCCTTTTCAAGTGCAAATCAGACCCAATCCTGCTTAGTTTCTGTAGTGGAATGTGTGAATGACCTTGGGGAGACAAGGGGAAGAAATGCAGCTGAGGAAACAATCAGTTAAGAGACGGAGGAGCCCCCAGTGGCTTAATGGTCAGAGAAAGAAACAAGGAAGGACCTGCCCTTATAGATCAAGCAATTAAAAAGTCTGAAATATTTTCAGAAGTCAAGAACAAATTCTTCTTCCAACTCAGCTCATCCAAGTCTTACAACAATACTGTTTTCCATCCCCACTCAATACATTAAAAAAAGGAAAAGGAAAAGGAAAGGAAAGTTAATTATCTGGTTCTTGTTAATTTCATCTTTTTGCTTTTTTTTTCTAGAAACTACTAAGGGGAACTGCAAAGCTATGAAGTCGTCATTCCCCTTGTAAGACCTGAAGTGCAGAAATTTGGAAAGACAAAGGGGAAGAGCTCCCTCTAATGGAGAAATGGAGCGACAGCCTCTTAAAAACAAAAATCCTCGCTTAGCAAGGAACTAAAATGCAATTGAGTCAGAAAGCAATCAGTTCTGTTCTTCAATTGTGGGGGAACAGAGCTGGAACACCAATATCTGAAGCTGCTTTCAAGCTGGCAGAGAATCTCGTGGAATGCCAGCCCATCTCAACTCAAACTAATGTCTCATTTTCATACTTTCTACCCCCAAAGTCACAGTAGGGGAATAGAATTAGGTTTTTAGGTAAAAAAAGGAGCTTAGAGCCCTTAGATGAGTTGAACAAATTGAGATAATACTAAAAATACCAACAATTAACATTTGCCTATCAAAGGTCCTTGGGAAGGACTCGATAGGATAAAAATGACAAATCCAGTTTAAATATCTGGCTGACTGTGCGACGAACCCATAAGAATAAATAGTGCACAAAAAGAAGGCTGGACGAGCAGATACCAAATATCCAATAAATCAGACTTTCATAGGCATCTTTTAGAGGGGAGGAGGGGACAAATAAGGGCCTTGCAACATCACTCTGCAAACTATCTGACTTACATACTTGAGACGCAAGTGAAAAAGCTGGAGATTTGGATTGTAACATTAACACACAGGTTTGTCGTTTTCTCCAACATTGTGGTTTATACCAGATCCCTGTGTAGCCTTTCCCAATTTAATGCTCTTTGGACCTGAACTTCAATCCCCAGAATTTCTAGCCAGCTCACTGAAAATTTGGGGAGTTGTACTTTAGTTCAAAACATCAGTTTGATCTAGTGGTAAAAGCACCAGGCTAGAAATCAAGAGACTGGGAATTCTAGTCCTGCATTAGAAAGCTGGCTGGGTGACTTCGTGCCAATCACCAGGAGGCGGTGATTTCTAGTTCCACCTTAGGCATGAAAGCCGACTGGGTGACTTTGGCCCAATCATCAGGCAGCTGTGAGTTCTAGTCCCACCTTAGGCATAAAAGCTGGCTGATTGGCTTTGGGCCAAACACCAGGAGGCAGTGAGGTCTAGTCCCACCTTAGGTATGAAAGCCGACTGGGTGACTTTGGGCCAATCACCAGGCGGCTGTGAGTTCTAGTCCCACCTTAGGTATGAAAGCTGACTGGGTGACTTTGGGCCAATCACCAGGAGGCAGTGAGTTCTAGTTCCACCTTAGGCATGAAAACCGACTGGGTGACTTTGGCCCAATCATCAGGCAGCTGTGAGTTCTAGTCCCACCTTAGGCATAAAAGCTGGCTGATTGGCTTTGGGCCAAACACCAGGAGGCAGTGAGGTCTAGTCCCACCTTAGGTATGAAAGCCGACTGGGTGACTTTGGGCCAATCACCAGGCGGCTGTGAGTTCTAGTCCCACCTTAGGTATGAAAGCTGACTGGGTGACTTTGGGCCAATCACCAGGAGGCAGTGAGTTCTAGTTCCACCTTAGGCATGAAAACCGACTGGGTGACTTTGGCCCAATCATCAGGCAGCTGTGAGTTCTAGTCCCACTTTAGGCATAAAAGCTGGCTGATTGGCTTTGGGCCAAACACTAGGAAGCAGTGGAGTTCTAGTCCCACCTTAGGTATGAAAGCTGACTGGGTGACTTTGGCCAATCACCATTTCTACATCATCATTTCTACAATGTCCTGTGTCTTTCTTCCTTTGGGGAGAGGACCCCTCCCTGGCCCAGTTCGAAGGGTCTCCCCTTCAGGACTCACCGAAGTAGGTCTCGTTGTTACAGCCATCCTCCGCACAAAAGTTTGCTTGGTATGAGAGAGTCACAAGATGCGAAGTCATGGAAAGAGATTTAAATGGATAGAGCTGTCGAGCGCAGCCTTTCCTCACAGTCTGGAATTCCAGAAAAGCTGAGGAAAAAAAAAAAAGGAGGAGATGGAAAGATTATATTTTTTAGGCTGGGCAATCCACGACATGCTCAGGATGGACAACATTTGGGAGAGTGGAGGGATATTCTCTAGATATACTGTTTTTTCCCCTCAATACTTCCTTCTGCCTCCCCACAACGTGAATGCGATTAGTTGGGTTTCCTTTTTTTATTTTGACAAATAGAACTCTTTTTTAAAAAAATGCTCTTCCTGTGTTTGGCTTTGGAAAACTGAATATCCTTTCCTGTAATGCAGAGGTCTCCAAACTTGAAGACTTGTGGATTTCAACTCCCAGAATTACCCAGCCAGCTGGGAGTTGAAGTCCACAAGTCTTCAAGTTGCCTGTGTCAATTCCAATGGATGCCCTAATTAAATCATGAGTCTTGAGCCAAACTTCAAAAGAAATCCAGTCATTTATTAGGAGATTCATGTCCACAGTTCCCAAGTGAAGCCAGCTCTGACCCTACATAATTTACGCTCCAATTATGACCGTTTTCCCCCTCCCCCCAGGGTATGTCATCAATCACATTCCAACGGAGCAATTTCGCGGGTTGTAGAGGTCATTCCCATTCAACTACTGTAGGTATCCCTGGGATACAGCCTTGAGAGAGATAAGCATGGAATGTGCATTTGTTTTGGGCTGCTGTGCAGTTTCGCCAATTTCCCATCCCCCCCCTGGCCCATGGTAACTCGAGAGCAGGTCAGGGATGCTTTGCGAGTTGACAGCCAGGTTTGGAAATCCCTACTGTAATGGAATGTGAGAACGACCTTGGGAGACAGGCAAAGAGATGCTGCCAAGGGAACCGTCAGATAAGATACAGCATAGCCCACAACTGGACAGTGGGTGGGGCAAGAAGCTCAGAAAAGACCCTCCCTAATTCTAGGGCTGTAAAGGAAGCCGTGGGTGGAGGATTGTACTTTCAGACTTGACAGATTCTGCCAAGATAACTTTATAATAAAGTAGAACAAGCTCTTCAGGTTGCGATTCCTGTCTGATATACCCTATGACGCCAAAGCAGTCTTGCCAGTCTGAAAATATAATTTACCCCCATGTACTGCTCAAGAAACTAGGGGGGGTTTCTTCTGAGCCACTTCCTCACCCACTATACAGCTGCAAGCTATGCTGTCTTTTATCTGACCATTCTCTTCCCTTTTCATTGCCCAGTCTCCCAAGGTCTTTCCCACATACCAGTTATACTTCCCTTGTTTCTTTGCTTCCTCTGTCCTCACTCCAGGAAATTCAAGGCTAAAACATTTGAAGAACGGTTGCAGGAACTGGGTATATCTAGTTCAATGAAAAGAAGGACTAAAGGTGACATGATGGCAGTGTTACAATATCTCAGGGGCTGCCACAAAGAAGAGGGAGTCAACCTGTTCTCCAAAGCACCCGAAGGCAGGACAAGAAGCAATGGGTGGAAACTAATCAAGGAGAGAAGCAACCTAGAACGAATGAGGAATTTCCTAATAGAGAGAACAATTCATCAATGAAACGGCTTGTATTTAGAAGTTGTGGTTGCTCCATCCTTGGAGGCTTTTAAGAAGAGAGTGGACAGCCACTTGTCTGAAATGGTATAAGGTCTCCTGCTTGAGCAGGGGGTTGGACTAGAAGACCTCAAAGGTCCCTTCCAACTCTGTTACTCTGTATTCTGCACCACTGATTGCAGCATTTGCAAACAATGGATCCCACTAAAGTGACTTTTTCAACACAGCTGCCCATTGTTTCTCTATGTTCCATCCACCCATATTCTGACTTCCTTGCAGAAGACAATAATTTTTTTTTTGTACAAAGAGAGGCACCTGCTGGTCAGGTCAAGAAGGTAGCCGTAACAGTACAATGTAAGCTCTGCCTGTTTTGAAAAGCGGACAGAGTTTCGATCGTACCATTGTGGCCATCTTGATGTTTTTGGATCACACACTTCGGGCAATGCTTGTGACCAATGACACTTACAGACATGTGCCTTTCGGACTGATGTTGTGCAGCTGGCTGAGGAGTCTTCGCAGGACACGTTCTCTCCAACACAATTGTATTCTCCGTGGCATGTGTTACACTGCAGGCAAAACACTGGGAAGAAAAGAAGAAAAATTAGTTATGGCACCTTTAAGACTGTAGCACTTTACTCCCTTAACCTGTGTGGACTTCAACTCCCAGAATTCCCTAGCCAACTGGGGAATTCTGGGAGTTAAAGTCCACGTGTCTTGAAGTTGCCAAGGTTGGACACTCCTTCCTTAAGCTTTTTATAGCCCATCCAACTCAGAGAATATCCAAACACTTAAATGAACCCAGGCACAGAGGCAACTGAAGGGAAGGGAGGGTCAAAAGCCTCTGTTATGCGTTTATTTGACGCTGCAAAGAAAGAAATAATATGGATTGGATAAGAAAGAAGACAATAAATACAGAGTACAGTATATTAAAAATGTTCCACGTATTTTTAAATCTGTGCCCTGTGAGCTTGCGAGTCGCTCGACAGTAAGATGGGTGGCACATACATTTAATAAATAATATAAAAAAATAAATACAATTTCTATGTCTAAAGGGACTAGTTTTGCATGCACGATAAACCATGCAACAAAAGGATTTTAGAAAACCCAATTGCTATTAAAAGAACTTTTAACACCCAGTTTCAGGAGCCAGAAATGTGAAGCTGGATTCATCTTTACTTTCGCCTTTTCGATCTCTTCGGTATTCATCACCGTAGCTAATCATCCTGCCTCTGCAATTACATGGCACAGAACACTGAGGACTAGAAACTTCCTGTTGAGAGATTTTTAAATTTAAACCCAGAGTTTTAAGAGTCTTGGGAGGAGGGGGGGGGGGGGAACCAAGAAGAAAGTCTGGTTTTGTGTCTAATTATTCTGTTTTCTTGTCAATTCCATGAGCTTGGAAGAAACTTCAGTGATGTTTACCTGAAATCTAAGGTAGCCTTTTGAAAGGTGGAGTTGTGTTGTGCTATTTATCTACTTTAGGCAAGTAGAAACATGTCTCCTCAGCTTCACTATTAGGCTATTTTATTATTGCCAATAAACCTATCCCTTTTCAGATAGTTCAGGGAACATACGAGACTGGATTGCATCTTGCAATAAACTGTTTATTGAGTTGTTTATTGAATAACTCATAGTGTAAGTAACTTGCTAAGCGAGCAACCCAGGGTGAAATCCAGCAAGTTCTGACAGGTTCTGGAGAACCAGTAGCGGAAATTTTGAGCAGTTTGACGAACCGGCAAATACCACTCTGGCTGGCCCCAGAGTGAGGAGGGAATGGGGATTTTGCAGTATCCTTCCCCCAGGAGTGGGGAGGGAATTGAGATTTTGCAATATCCTTTCCCCTGGAATGGGGTAGGAATGGAGATTTTGCAATATCCTTCCCCCAGGAGTGAGGAGGGAATGGGGATTTTGCAATATCCTTCCCCTGTAGTGGGGTGGGAATGGAGATTTTGCAATATCCTTCCCCCAGGAGTGAGGAGGGAGTGGGGATTTTGCAGTATCCTTCGCCCAGGAGTGAGGAGGGAATGGGGATTTTGCAGTATCCTTCCCCTGGAGTGGGGTGGGAATGGAGATCTTGCAATATCCTTCCCCCAGGAGTGAGGAGGGAGTGGGGATTTTGCAGTATCCTTCCCCCAGGAGTGAGGAGGGAATGGGGATTTTGCAGTATCCTTCCCCTGGAGTAGGGTGGGAATTGAGATTTTGCAGTATCCTTCCCCTGCCACGCCCACCAAGCCACGCCCACAGAACCGGTAGTTTAAAAAAAAATGGATTTCACCACTGCTGCAATCCTGGATTGATATAATGCATTAATCCAAACTAATAAAGCCAGGTTACTGCAATACGTGAGTCTAATCTTTTTATTAAATGCAGAGAGGAGGTGACAAGAAAATACCAGGAAACCTCATAGAACTTGCTAACTCGCAAGCAAATAAAACATAGGAAGACTCAGCCCGATGGGCAACTCAGCCAATACAGGTAGTCCTCGACTTATGACCACAACTGAGCCCAACATTTCCATTGTTAAGCAAGAGAGTTGTTAAGTCACTTTTGCCCCATCTTACTTTCTTGCCACAGTTGTTAAGTGAGTCGCTGCAGTTCTTAAGTCAGTAGCCCGGTTATTAAGTGAATCTAGTTTCCCCATTGACTTTGCTCGTCAGGAGGTCGCAAAAAAAAGGATCACGTGATCCCAGGACATGGCAACCGTCATAAATGTGAATCAGTTGCCAAGCATCCCAATTTTGATCATGCCACCATGGGGATGCGGCAAGGGTTGTAAGAGTGAAAAAACGGCTGTTAAATCAGGGTTTTTTTTTCAGTCCCATTGTTGACTTTCAGTTCATCTTGACTTGGCTGCTTTCTATATTTGTTAGTTCCTGAGGCTGACCTGGATGTAACAGTTCCCACGTGCATTCAATTTTCCTATCAATTACTTTATTAAAAAACAATTACTACCAACCTGCCTTCCACTGAGGACCTGTCTACTGCACGAGTCAAAAAGAGGGCTGTGAAAATATCTACAGACCCCTCGCATTCTGGACATAAACTGTCTCAACTCCTACCCTCAAAATGACGCTATAGAGCACTTCACACCAGAATAACTAGACACAAGGACAGTTTTTTCCTGAACACCATCACTCTGCTTAACAACTAATTCCCTCAACACTGTCTCACTATTCACTAAGTCTGCATTACTACTACTATTAATCTTCTCATCGTTCCTATCACCCATCTCCTCCCACTTATGACTGCATGACTGTTGCTTGGATCATTACGATTTATATTGATATTGATCGTTTCCTAGTATGATTCGACTGCTTATTTGTTCCCTATGACTATCATTAAGTGTTGTACCTTATGATTATTGATGAATGTATCTTGTCTTTTTATGTACACTGAGAGCATATGCACCAAAGATAAATTCCTTGTGTGTCCAATCACACTTGACCAATAAAGAATTCTATTCTATTCTATTCTATTCTATTCTATTCTATTCTATTCTATTCTATTCTATTCTATTCTATTCTATTCTATTCTATTCTATTCTAATTCAATTCTACTCTACTCTACTCACTCCACTCACTCCACACCACTCCACTCCACTCCACTCCACTCCACTCCACTCCACTCCACTCCACTCCACTCCAAATTCTAATTCTAATTCTAATTCTAATTCTAATTCTAATTCTAATTCTAATTCTAATTCTAATTCTAATTCTAATTCTAATTCTATCCAGCTGCCAGTGTTGACCACTAGCACGCAAATACAAGAAAACACCTTTATAAGGAAAGCTCATTTCCATTATAAATAAGGCGTGTTTTCTCACAAGTACGTCCCACTGAATTCAGCGGGGAATTATCACAAGCTAGTGAACGGAGGTTGAGATCCAATATACACAAATAATCCCCGTTGGACCTTGACTGAACAGCCAATAATATATTCTATTATTTTGAGTAACATCAGAATGTTGTCCTATTTTTATTCCAGATATATTAAGTATTCTGAAACTCAACCAACTCTAGAAGCTATTTAACTTTTTAAAAAAATTGGTCAAGGGCTTTTGAAAAAAATGAAATATCTTACATATCAGGTTACTTATACGTTACAACTACCCTGAACTAAAACATATGGAAACTGTTTATCAAGGAATATAACTGTCTCTTCTCCCAATCACTTTTCAGATGACTTGTTCATTTTGCAACATAGATGGGAGGAAGCAGCTAAATTTTTTTTTCACCTGTTAAAAGATAAAGATATGTTTTCTTTATCTGCAGGCTGGACACAGTGTCTGACCACTGTTAGACAAGACAAAGCTTAATATTCATGTTAATGAATAATGAATAACATTAAAGGTAAAGATTCCCTTCACACATATGTGCTAGTTATTTGCAACTTTAAGGGGCGGTGCTCATCTCTGTTTCTGAGCCAGCGTTGACTGAAGACGTCTCCGTGGTCATGTAGCTGGCATGACTAAATACCAAAGGCGCACAGAGCGCTCTTACCTTCCCACCAAAGGTGGTCCCTATTTTTCCACTTGCATTTTTTACGTGCTTTCGAACTGCTAGGTTGGCAGAAGCTGGGACAAGTAACGGGAGCTCACCCCATTACGCAGCACTAGGGATTCAAACCGCTGAACTGCTGACCTTTTGATCGACAAGCTCAGGGTCTTAGCCACTGAGCCATCGCATCCCTAGTAATAACATTATTATATAATAATATGTTTTCTTTCAAACCTGTCAAACGTGTTGCAGATATTCTTGCCTTATTATTACAGTTTGCACGTGCTCAATAATTGCCCTGTTATTGTAACTGGATACAAGCAATGCATTGAGGTTTATCATGCTTCTTCCAAGTGTCCACAGATCTTGGGTTGGCCACCATCAACAGGCGGTGGAACAGCTACAACTGCTACAAACAATTATTAAGATGCAACGATCCATCAAATCTGTTGATTTTGCTTTTGCACGATAAACACTTATCAGGTTTTATTTCTCAGTAAACGGAATTGGATTGCAGTCTACATTAGATGTCTATGGAGATTCTCAGTCCAGTCTACAACACAGTCCTTTCAACAGTCCCAAGAAGGCTCCATACCCATTTACACCACTCAGGTGACCCTGATGACACAGATAAACCTCCAGGTGGCCTTAACAGCTCACTAAAAGAATACAAATGACCAGCTGTCTGCAAGGAGTATAAATCCTTCCATTCCCCACCATCAGGTCAGAGCTGAAGAAGCTTCTTGGATGAGAAGTGAAACGTCTTCAAAGAAAAACCAGAAAGTCCCAGTTGCCTCTTGAAAAAGCACCTTTGGGATCTACACTAGGTGTTTCAACTGAAATATTCTCCAACAGTGGACTTCAGCCCTCAATACTCCAGAGCCAACTCAGCTGTCATTGTGAATTGATATCTACATATGGAGGTTGGGAAAGAACGATCTATATCAATGCCTATGGAGATTCCCAGTCATCCAGGTCATGGTTGTCCCAAAGGTGCTTTTTCAAAATGCAATTGGGCTTTGTTTTTTCCTTGAAGATGTTTCACTTCAGCAGTTCCAAGAAGGCTCCACACCCATTGGCACTATTCAGGTTCTCTGGGGGCACAGATAAATCTCCAAGTGGCCGCAATGACTCCCAGAAAGAGCGCTAACGACCAGAGGACTGCAAGGAATATCAATCCTTCCATCCTCCACCATTCAGACAGGACTGAAGGAGCTTCTTGGATGGGAAGCGAAACGTCTTCAAGGAAAAAACAAAGCACAGTTGCCTTTTGAAAAAGCACCTTTGGGACCTATATAAACAATCTTACATTGCTTGAAGGTAAAGTCCCTTCTGAAGCAAGACCTTTACTTCTAATACTATGAATGTGTTAGAAGGGTGTTTCTCAACCCTGACATCTTTACTGTGTGCGGATTTCAAGTTCCAGGAATTCCCAAACTAGCATGCTGGATGGAGAATTCTGGGAGGTGAAATCCATGCATCTTAAAGGTACCAAGATCGAGAAGCGCTGTGTTAGAAAGCAGAATGGATGGGAAAATTAGAGGTGATAATAAAATTTCACTTCAGTGAAAACGTAACATGGATTCTAAGGCTCCTCCAGCATAGAACGGTTAAACATAATATAAGAAAGACCAAAAAAGTTGTGATGAAGAGAAAGTTCTCCAGAAGAAAGTGGCATACCATTCCTTTTCCCCTTGGGCACAAATCGAAAACAAAAGTAAAGATTCTTCCATCAGGAAAAGAGCTACAGAACTTCCAAGGAAAGTAGAATAATTCTGACATTAATATGATTGAGTGGGTCCAGAGGTACTTCACAAGAAGAGTACTCCACTCCTCTACTCACAATAGAATTCCCTTATGCCACCAGGCTTGAAATTTTGGGCTTGGACAATCTGGAACTGCGGTATGATCTATGCACAGTACACAAAATTATCTGCTACAACATCTTACCTGTCAAAGACTTCTTCAGCTTCAACCTCAATAATACACAGGCGAACAATCGGTACAAACTCAAGGTAAACCGCTCCAAACTCGATTGCAGAAAACACGACTTCAGCAACAGAGTGGTCAATGCCTGGAATGCTCTACCTGACTCTGCTGTTACAGCCTCAAACCCTCACAGCTTCAACCTCAAACTGTCTACCGTGGACCTCACCCCATTCCTAAGGGGTCCATAAAGGGGGCGTGCATAAGCGCACCAGTGTGCCTACCGACCCTGTCCTACTGTCCTCATTTATCTGTACTTACTTCCCTTGTTTATGTTTATGTTTATGCCTATACCTGCTATCTTGTACGTGTTTGACAAATAAATAAATGAAATGAAATGAAATGAAATAAATAAATTTCACTTCAGTGAAAACGTAACATGGATTCTAAGGCTCCTACAGCATAGAACAGTTAAACATAATCTAAGAAAGACCAAAAGAGTTGTGATGAAGAGAAAGTTCTCCAGAAGAAAGTGGAGTACCATTTCTTTCCCCCTAAGGCACAAATCGAAAACAAAAGTAAAGATTCTTCCATCAGGAAAAGAGCTACAGAACTTCCAAGGAAAGTAGAATAATTCTGATAAGTTCAACAAAAGCAGAGTATTAGAGTTGGGATTGGTCCTTGAATACCAACAAAAAGGAGTCTATCAAGGTACCCAGTCTTGTTTTACCTTGGCTGAGGAGGGTGAGTAGCAGTACCATTAGCAGGTTCTTAGCCATCTTGAGATGCCTCTCTAACTTCCCACCTTTGTATCCTGCTCCTTGGACGTTGCCAGATGCCTGTCACTGCTTCTCATGAGCTTCTAAATATCGCTGGCTGAACATTCCTGTCTATATGGACCTGCCCAAAACCAAATACCTGTTTGGGTTTTTATTGGTCTCAGGCTAAGATCCTCCTCTGTCTGTCCCAACGAATGGCAAAGGGCAGTTTCACCTCTGGCACGTGAGCAGCCATCCCAGAGGATGCTCTGGAAGAGAGACCCACCCGGTATCAGGATGAGTCACAGCTGGAATTCGTCAGGAGCTCCTGAAAGCATCCCAAAGGACACAGGGGAAGATGAGCACATCAGGAATCCAACCCAGCTGGTTGGGATGAGAGGGAGGAGGAAAAGAGAGGGAGAAAGAGAACAGCCATGGCAGGGAATGGGAGAGCAAGTAAGAAGAGAAAGGAATGAGGAGTAAGTCTGGAAAGAATGCTTCACACATAGTCCTTGAGTTATGAACACCGTTGAGATCAGAAGTTCCATTGCAAAGTGAGACTTATTAGGCAGGATCACCTGCTAAAGGAGAGGAAAGGAAAGGAAAAATGCATTCCAGCATTTTATTTATTTATTTATTTATTTATTTATTTATTTATTTATTTATTTATTTATTTATTTATTTATTTATTTATTTATTTATTTATATCCCGCCCTTCTCCCCGAAGGGACTCAGGGCGGTGAACAGCCGAAAATTAAAATAACATACAATATAAAAGTTAAGATAACTAAAAATAAATGAAATTAATCGGCCTTCCAATTTAAAACCCCAAGCTATGCAATTAAAAAACTAACCCATAAAATCTATTCAGGCCAGGCCGGCTTGCTGAAATAAAAACGTCTTCAGGGCCTTACGGAAAGTGCGGAGATCCGGAATCAGCCGTATTCCGGGAGGTAGCTCGTTCCAGAGGGCGGGTGCTCCCACAGAGAAGGCTCTCCCCCTGGGAGCCGCCAGCCGACATTGCTTGACCGATGGCACCCTGAGGAGGCCCTCTCTGTGAGACCGTATTGGCCGGTGGGAGGTTATCGGTAGCAGAAGGTGGTCTCTTAAATACCCTGGCCCTAAGCCATGGAGCGCTTTAAAGGTGAGAACCAACACCTTGAAACGCACCCGGAAGACCACCGGGAGCCAGTGCAGCTCGCGCAGGAGAGGTGTTATATGGGAGCGCCAAGTCGCTCCCGTAATCACCCGCGCGGCCGCATTCTGGATGATGATGCATGACATAGATGGCCTCTTCGAGGTGCCATCTGGTTGCCAGGTAACATCACTCCTCCTCTCTTAAACCAGGTGTGAGAATGTCCTTGGTTCCCAAGAGAAAGTATTTTGTTCTGGCTACAAAACCCCAGCTATCTCTATTCCCCCCCTCCCTATCCCTCAGCTCCAGTGTGGCAACACTGAAGTTTCAAAAATGGCCTCGGTCAGGTCATCTTCAGGGTTGACAATTGTCACATCGAACGGTGACTAAATGAATGGCTGTCAATTAAGGACTACTATCTGAATGCTTAGATGGGTCCATTGCAAGCTAGCCACCTCTTATTCACATCACAGGCAAAGCTTGCTCAGTTTTAATCTGGGGTTTGGGTTGACTTGGTATCTTATGTAAACACGGGGTTAGTTTCTGGTTCAACATGTTGAGCAAACCGCGAGAAAGGATACCAATGTTGTATGTTGCAATGCAATACTCTTTCATCTCAAGCACTTTGAAATAGCGAATGCTGGACAGCATCCCAACAATCTGGCTCTTATATCACCCTAGTTCTGAAACCGGACTTTCTTATCACCGTGAATTCAAACGTTTTAAGAAAAGCATGGGTTTTTTTTTTCAAAAAAGTTTTTTTATTTCTATTTCTCATAAACACATTTACATGTACAGTCATTTCCATCATTTTTCATTCATCTTTTCTTTTAACTTTCATTTTTCATTTTCACTTTTTCAGGGCTGCTCTTTTACCCTTTACCTTTACTCCAACCTTTCTTCTTCTCCTCCCCTTCTCTTCCTTCCTCTTTCTCCTCCTACTTCCTTCGTTCTTCCTCTCCTTCTCTTTCCTACTTCCCTTTCTCTTCCCCCACTCCTCTCTTCTTCCCCCCTTCTAACCTTCTCCTCCGCTCCTCTTCCTCCTCCCTTTTCTTCCTCTCCTTTTCCCTTTCTTCTTTCTCCTCTCCTCTCCTCTCCTCTCCTCTCCCCTCTTCTCCTTTCCTCTCTCTCTACTCCTTCGCCTCTCTCCTGTTGTTTCCCTTTTCAGTTCAATCTAAAGTGATATTTGAGCTGCCCCGATTTTCTCATTCTCTTTATTCTCATTTAAATTTCTTATTCAATTATTATTTATTTATATTTCATCATTTGCGTACATTTTTATAATATCTCACTTTTTTCCCTTTTACCCCCGCTCCCCTTTCTCCTTTTACTTGACATCATCTGGGTATCTATTTTTCTAATTGTTTTCTCCCATCAATTCTCTATCTATTTTATCTCTATATCCTTATTCATATTTGCGCCCCTTTCTAGATCGGGACTCTCTACGCACAGTCACTCAGGCACTAGTCACTTCCCGCCTGGACTACTGCAACGCTCTCTACATGGGGCTCCCCCTGGGGTGCACCCGGAGGCTCCAGCTGGTCCAGAACGCAGCTGCGCGGGGGATTATGGGGGCGACGAGGCGCTCCCATGTGACACCTCTCCTGCGCGAGCTGCACTGGCTCCCGGTGGTCTTCCGGGTGCGCTTCAAGGTGTTGGTGACCACCTTTAAAGCGCTCCATGGCTTAGGGCCGGGGTACTTACGAGACCGCCTTCTGCCACCAATAGCCTCCCACCGGCCAGTACGCTCGCACAGAGTGGGCCTCCTCAGGGTGCCGTCCGCCAGACAATGTCGGCTGGCGACCCCCAGGGGGAGAGCCTTCTCTGTGACGGCGCCCACCCTCTGGAATAACCTTCCCCCAGAGCTACGTATAATAACAGACCTCCGGATTTTTCGTCGGGCCCTGAAAACCTATTTATTTCAACTAGCTGGGCTGGCTTGAGCTAAATTTTAAATTGATTTTAAATTGGGTTGTTTTAATTTACGGCCAGAATATTTAATTATTTTAATACTGTTTTTTAAATTTTGTATGCTTTGTTTTTACTTAGGCTGTGCACCGCCCTGAGTCCTATTTGGAGAAGGGCGGTATAGAAATTTAAACAAACAAATAAATAAATAAATAAATAAATATTTTCCTCTCTAACCAATCATAAAATTTATCCCAATGTCTTGAAATACATCAACTCCTCTTTATCAAGGATGTTCTTGTAGCACAACCAGGTCTGGCAATCCCAGAAAAGACGTAGCTGCTTTAAGGAGCTGCAGATAAGTGTGAGATGAGCACCTCAGGGCGCACCAAAGCACTTTTTACCTTTAGCCTGACAGTGCTGCACACCCTGTTGTATGTTTACTAAAAGACTACTTTAAAGGTTTTGCTTGTGCAATTGCTTCTGGGAGCAGGGGACATCCCTCACTTAGGAAGCACCAGGAAATCTCTGGTGGCTTTAATGATGATTCAGTTTCCACTTCTTTAATTAATGCCTCTGTTCAGGTGATGGACAGATATATAAACACTGTCTGTCTCGCTAGATAGGGTTCCACAAGGGCAGATGTGTGAGTCAGCTGCAGAAATAGAGTTTGATATCAACTTAAATCAGACCTGGAGTTTAAAGCTAGAGGAGCTCAGATTTGCATACAGCCCCATATTTCCGGGATCGCCTTCTGATTGTTGGATTCTTTCTAACTGACAGGACAAATGGCCTTCCCTTTAGGTATGTTTATCCTATCTGAGTTGCAAAAATCCAGGTAAGCATTAGATGGCAGGAAAGATCCCTTTGTTGGGAACTTGTGTTCGTCTGGATCTTTGCACCCTGGATTTAGAAACCTTGATCTGAGGATAGGAAACACATTGATCCCTATTGTACTATGAGCCCTAATAAACAGCATGCTCAAACCTGGCTAGTTGTTTCCAGGGATGGGCTGCTAGGAGTTCGCAGGGGTTCGGGAGAACCTCTAGCTAAGATTCTGTGCAGTTCAGAGAACCCCCAACCCTCCCAGGAGTCCCCCCACACGTCCTGTTTTGGAAGCAGGTAAGTGCAGGGCATGGTCGGAGGCTTGGGGAGGGTGAAAAACGGGCCTACCAGAAGTTCAGGAAGCCTCCAGAGGGCCTCTGGAGCCTGGGGAGGCCATTTTCGCCCTCCCAGAGGCTCAAGGAAAGCCTCCTGAACCCAGCTCTGCTCCAAAAGGCAGCTTGTTCTTTGGTTCTTTGAGAGCCAATATGGGCTTCCTCACCAGATGGTTGCCATGGAGGAGTTGGCCTTTGCCCAAAGTGGATATCAGGATTGATGGATTGAATCCTGTAGAACAACACTAAGAGCCACCTGGGCTCTTATATTGTCGCTTATGGCTCCAGGAATGAGACAAGTAAATGCAGGATAAAAAGTTAATGGAGAAGGTCTATTAAGAAGTGGCAACGTAATTCACAGTTGGGGAGGTTGCCAGGAAATGGATCAGACGTTTATTTATTTTTATTAGCCTCACACACCATTAAGTCAAGATGACTTCCTAAATACGTAACCATCTTCTGCCAAATACATTGTGCTCAGCACAATGATGGGAAGAAATGCAGATGGTCAAGTTCGAAGCCTTCTGGTCGTAAACAGCAAAATCTTCTAGTTCCAACCCCTTGCCTTATACTATCCCAATATATTTGGTCTGTTTTTCAAAACCTTCCAGTGATGGAGCATTCACAACTCTGGGAGGCAAGCTATACCATTGTCCTGTAGGAAGTTAGCACCCACCCCTCTCCTAGAAGAATGAAATATTTTAGGAAATATTTAATGTCAGCACTCCAAACTACATTTGTTCCAGTGCTGACATAAGGAGGAGAAGAGGGGGCAGCTGGCAAGAGGATGCTTGACTCTTCACCTACTTATTTTCCCTGAAGATAATATCCCCTAGAAGATGGGAGGGGGGACATTCCTGGGAGCTGAAGTAGTAGATATGGGGAGAGTGATTTGGAAGATGGCCAATGAGACGCAGAGAATTGG